GTTCGCTCACCTCTCGATCCTGTCACGGCTCTCTGCCGTGACAGGGAAGGGGCTGGATTCCCCCCTCCCCGCTCCGATCCTCCAGCGCTGACTGGCGGAACGGACGGGGGAGGAGCGGTTACAGCTGGCTCTGCCTCTAGATAGGCAGAGCCAGCTGTCACTCGCGCAGCTGGGCGGATCCAGACATAATTGTCGGGATCCGTTTCAGCTGCGGCGTCTCAGTATACCGCGAGCTGTAGCTGGCGGTATACTGAGCTTAGGGTGACGGGAGGACGCTAGTTTGTGTCCTCCCGTTACCCTAAGGAGAACTATGGGGAAAAGCCTTAACCCCATAGTTCTCCTTTAATTTTGTAGCCCTTCGCTGAAATCTCTCCAGCTCGATGTAGTCTTTCCTGAGAGTTGGTGACCAAAACTGCACCGCATACTCAAGATGAGGCCGAACCAGTGATTTATACAGTGGTAGTATTACTTTTTTTATCCCTTGCCGCGATCCCTCTTTTAATGCACGCTTGTATCCAGTTTGCTCTGCTGGCTGCTGCTTGGCATTGCTTTTGATTGCCAAATCTGTGATCTACGAGCACCCCCAGGTCTTTTTCCATGGTCAACTTCCCTAATGTAGCACCCCCCGACTAGTAGTTTGCGCACACATTCTTTGCTCCCATGTGCAAAACCCTACATTTTTCAACATTAAATCACATTTGCCATCTTGTAGCCCAGGCCTCAATTGTTAAGGTTCTGTTGAAGTGCAGTGTCTGCTGTTCGGAAACTACTGCTCTACACAGTTTTGCATCATCTGCAAAAACCGAAATCAAAATTTGTAGTCCAATCTCTATGTCCTGGATGAACAAGATGAACGTGATCGGTCCCAGGATTGAACCCTGAGGCACCTCACTCACAACTTTTGCCCAATTAGAAAATGACCAGTGGCGTAACAATCACCATAGCGACCAAGGCGGTCGCTATGGGGCCCGGGGCACAGTGGGGCCCGGCCAGATGCCGTGCGGGCCGCCTGGGTCGCTATGGGATCTTCTGCTGCTGGCTTTCACTGGCATCTGAAGACGAACACGGCGCTGTTCAGATCATCTGTGCAGCGGCGCGTTCGTCTCCACAGTCAATGAGAGCCAGCAGCAGCGGGGGAGCAGGCTGGACCCGGTGTTCTATCAACGTCGCGAGCCTCTGACGTCACCGGCAGTGGAGGAGGAGGCGGGCCCGTGCTCGGCAGCAGGGGAGGAGGCGGCCTCGCTGACGAAGAAGGAGGCGGGGCCCGGTGACGGAGGAGGTAAGGAGTCTATGGTGGGCTCTGCAGGGTCACCCTCAGGTGGGATCTCGAGTGGGCTCTGCAAGGGGTATAACTAGAAATCACGGGGCCCCATACAAAATGTTGCTATGGGGCCCTGTGATTTCTAGTTACGCCCCTGAAAATGACCCATTTATTACTACATGTTATAGTTCTATAAACTGTCTGATTTTTGCACTGGAGTAAAAACTGCCACATGGAGTATGAGCTTTCCAGCTATGAAGCCATCAGATTACAGTAAAATGGGAATACAACTGGTTCTGATCCAAGAATTATTTAAGGAGCTCTGCGGCTACAGATGATGTAGTTTGGGAATGGGAATTGGCTGATGTGATGATAACAAGGCTTCACTAAAGAATACTAAAAGGGTACGTAAACTGTAACAATGAACTTCCTTTATTTGGCCCCCGTTAAATATGCAATTGAGAGTATTCTGTTATATCTGTATTATTTCTGTGGCCCTCTCCTAGGGTGGCAACACTGTTCCACCAAAGAGACAGTTGAGTAAGTAAGAGTAGTCACCTAGGACAGGAAGTTTGTTACTGGCAGAATCATCAGGTGAAAAACAAAGGCAAAAAGCCTGAAAACTAATGCAGCCACCACATCTAAAGGCCAGTAAGCTGCAATATTTACATTATTATTTTTGGGTTTGAGAGATAGACCATGAGTCATAGTCTCTTCATGGTAAGGGGAAAATCTCTTAGACAGTTGTCACCGGAACATACATCACTTCTGGAAGATTTCTCTTTTATCTCCTGTTCTGGTGGAAACTTGAAACTTTTAGATTTCCCAGCACTTCCTGTCCTGATAACAATGGTCACCAACACAAAGAGAGAGGAGAAAAAGCATGCTTGGCTTTAGAAACATCATAAGGGCTTACGTCATGTTCGCATTAGACGGGCTTTGCAATCCCATACAATTCTATGGCACTGCAAAATATTTTTGAAGGAGGTCAACTGCAGGCAAAATACACCTGTCAGTACATTCTGAATGATCTCAGAAGCAGCACAATCTGATGTCAAACTGATGCCATCAACACAATCCCAAGCCCACTGACAAGAGCCCAAGCTCAGTGACACAAGCCCATGGGCCCAAGCTCTTTGACACCAGACCAAGCCCGTTGTCAAGAGCCCAAGCCCTTTGACATAAGCCAAGCCCACTGACACAAGCCCAAGCCCTTTGACACAAGCCCACTGATACAAACCCAAGTCCATGGACCCAAGCCCAAACCTATTGACACATACCCTTAATAAAATGTAGTGAGATTTAGGTCAGATTCTAGTTTGTGCAAATTGATTTGTTTGTTCATTCCTATCGCCCTTTAAAATGAATTTCTTACGTGAACAGGTCTTCTTGTCAGGATTGAGAATGTAGCCATTGCGGCACTTGCATTGGTATGATGTAGCCGTTGCTACACATATGTGTTCACAGTCGTGTCTTCCAGGAGCACAAAAGTCTACACCTAAAAAATAGAAAGTGATAGATTGACAATCTTATGGTGATAGGAACACAATGTTTATATAATACGACAAAATACATTGATTTAAAACACATTGATACATAACAACTGTAGATTGCTTGAGATACATATATATCTTCAAAATACAATTATTACAACCAATGTGTTATAAGTTTACACTGTTCAGTTATTTTGCACTTTCAGCACCAGCCCCAAAATGGGTTCTTCATAGGCAAATATTGACAATGAGCTCCAGAGAGATGAAGTGGGAATTTCAACTCACAGCAACATCACCTTTGGTCCCCCTGTGCCAGGCAGGGCACCTGGCACAGGGGGACCAAAGGTATAATTTAATCAATGCATGTTCATATTTTTTTCAAAAGCTTTGTCTCTTTATATAGATTATAATTATATATGTACATGTGGGTAGCAGGGGCGTATCTGCCGCGAGGCAAACAAGGCGTTTACTTTGCCGCGAGGCAAACAAGGCGAGCCGGTACTTTGTGGCCG